CTTTAATTTCATTTCAATTTAATTGCCTAGGAATCTTGTTGACTGATGATTCTGATTTAGAAGGTCTAACGGTGGGACCTGAGATTCTGCATTTCTAACAAACTCCCAGATGCTGCTGTTACTAGCCTATAAACCACACTTAAAAGTGGCATGGGACTTAAAGTAGGGTAGGTTACCACAAAATTTTAAAGGTGGAAGGAACGGTACAATGTTGGTAATTCTTAAAAACATACATACTGTCTGTCCTGGTTTCCGGATGAAGACACTAAAACTTAGAGAATCTGAGGATCAGGGATAAGGTCACGATAGCTAGCAGTAGAGCCATAGGAAATTCAACTTATCCTATGGTTTCTGTGTGCTACACTAGTGCTTCTTAAATTTCAGTTATTTACATATATTATGTAGGTTTCTCAGATAAAGTTATACAGGGTAGGTGAAATCCCTGGAATGTGCTGTGTTAAAATTATTCCTTCTTCAAGTAACTGAAGATATTAAATTATGGCAAGGTTTCTCAACCAAAGTCTCAGTGATATCTATACACTTACATTAAAGGAAAATGAATACATAGGCAATCCCCTATCAGAATTTTTGGAATTCTGATCTTTACTGTTTTGGTAAGTCTCTTCCAAAGGTGTTTTAGAGACTAATTTATCAATTTGACTACTAAGTAAAGCAAGGAAAGAACTAAAGGAATTTTGCATGCGGAGAAGACCAATGAGATTTTTCTATGAACAGAATAGTGACTAAATTTTACCATGTGGCCTACAATGTCTGTCTCAGTCAAGGTTATATACAATCCCTCTGTATTCTTCTGTCTCCCAATATCATGCCTGGAGCCAAGACACTTGGACAAATAAAGAATCCTACTTTTAGACGGGAGACTGAAAGTAGTAAATGTAAATATTGTTAAGATATTACATAAGGAACAAAGGAAGAGTGGCTCTCTTTGATTCATTTCTACTCAAATTACTATTTTATTGTACTTTATGAAAATTAACAGTCTGAACAAGAGGAGGAAGTTAGTTTAATTTTGGAAGATCTTAAATTGTATATCAGTTCTCCAATGGCCATTTTTAATCAACTCAATTTTTAAACAAAAACTTATAAATATGACTGAACTGAAGATTTCTATAGAGAGCTTCAACATAAGACTTGATCAAGCAGAAGAAAGGATCAGTAAACTCACAGACAGGTTATTAAAAATTACCCAGTCAAAGGAACAAAAAGAGTAAAGGAATGAAAAAGAGTGAGAAAGGCTGTGAGAATTATGGGGCAATGAAGCAAACTAATCTTTGCATTATAGGAGTTCCAGAAGGAACAGAGAATGAGAAAGGAGTACTGAATATATTTAAAGAAATAATGACAGAAAACTTTATAAACTAGAGACAGATGTAAATATCTACACATAAGAAGCTTTGAAGATCTCCAGTTAGGTTCAATTGAAACAAGGCTAAAATAATACATAGTAAAACTCTCAGAAGCATTAAGACAAAGAGAGGATCCTGAAAGCAGCAAGAGAAAAGAATCGTATCTCATAAAATAGAACTCCAACATGGCTGTAATTAGATTTCTCAGCAGTAACGTTGAGGGTCGGGGTAGAATGCAACGCTATATTAAAGAAAAGCAACAACAAAACCCAAGCAAACAAAAATTTCTTGCTCAAAAAAACAAGCGAAAAAAACTAGCAACCATAATGTTGTCCCTCAGAAATGAAGAAGGGATAAGAGCTTTCCCAGGCAAATAAGAGCTGAGGAAGTTCACTAGGCTTGCCGTATAAGAAATGCAAAAGGGAATTCTTCAAGCTGAAAGAAAAGGATGGTAATTGGTAATATGAAAACATATAAGTGTATAAAAGTCATTTGTGAAAGTAAGTACATAGTCAAATTTAGAATGCTGTAATGCTATAATGGTGATGTGTAAATCAATTGTATCTTTAGTGAGGTTTAAATGCAAAGCTGTTAAAATAGGCATATTTACAATAATTTATGAAATGATATATAATATATAAAATATGTAAATTATGATCAATAACATGTTGGAGGCAATAAAATTGTAGAGTTTCTGTATGTTATTGAAGGTATCACCTTAAAAATAGCCTGTTATAACCATAATATGTTTTATATAAGTCTCATGGTAACCACAAATAAGAGAACTATAGTGTATACACAGGAGATAAGTAAGAAATCAAAGCATACCACAACAGAGAATCATTAAATTACAAAGGAAGACAGGTAGAGTGGAAGAAAGGAACAAAGAACTTGCAAAGATATCAAAAAACAATGAATAAAATGGCAGTAGTATCTCTTTATCTATGAGATAAGCAGTTTAAATGTCAGTGGATTAAATTCTCCCATCAAAAGACACAGAGCCACTGAATGGATTTTGTTAAAAAATCCAAACCATATCCTATTAACAAGAGACTCGTTTCGTCTTTAAGGACACAAATAGACTGAAAGTGAAGAAATGGGAAAAGATAGTCTATGAAAATTGAAACCAAAAAGAGCAGAGCTAGCTATACTTAGATGAAATAGACATTAAATAAAAAATTGTGAAAAGAGGCACAGAAGATTATTATATAATGATAAAAATGGTTGGTTCATCAAGAAGATACAACAATTGTAAACAGATATGCACTGAACATCAGAACACCTAAGTACGTAAAGCAAATACTAATATATCTGAAGGAATAAACAAGACTGCAAGGCAATAATAGTAGAGGACTCCAATATTTCACATTCATCAATAAATAGATCATCCACTTAGAAAATCAATATGGAATTTGATGTGTGCACTTCAGTCATCCAATAGATCAACTATACCTAGCAAACATATATCAGAATAGTTTATCCAACAACAGCGGAACACACATCCTTTTTAAGCATATGCTAAACATTATCCAGGATAGACCATGTGTTAGTCCAGAAAACAAATCTTAATACACTTAAGAGGATTTAAATGATATCAAGTATATATTTTTACCACAATGGTGTGAAATTGTAAATCAATAATAGGAAGAATTTCAAAAATTTACAAATACATGGAAATTAAAAGCGTGCTTCTCAATCAGTGGGTCCAAGATGAAATTAAAAGGACAATAAAAAATATCTTGAGACTTGTGAAAGTAGACACTCAACATATCAATTTGTATAGGATGCAGCAAAATCAGTTCTAAGAGAGAAGTTTATAGCACTAGATGCCTACACATAAAAGAAGAAAAATCTGGAACAATTTCGTGTTACACTTCAAGGAACTAGAAAAATGACAGCCTAAGCCCAAAGTTAGTTGAATGTATGAAATGGTAAACATCAGAGCAGAAATAAATGAAATAGAAATTATGGAAACAATAGAAGAGATCAACAAAGCTAACAGTTGCTTTTTTTAAATGATAAAATTGACAAACCTTTAGCTAAGCTGAAAAAATAGTGAAGAGTTAAAGAAATAAAATCGGAAATGAAAGAGGATACATTACAACTTGTATATAACAGGAATATCAAGAATCATAAGAGACAACTATGAGCAGTCATTTGCCAACAAATTAGATAACCTAGAAGAAATGTATAAATTCCTAGAAACATACATCCTACCAAGACTGAATCATGAAGAAGTTGAAAATCTGTATAATAATAAGTAAGGAGGTTGAATCAGCAATCATAAACCTCCCTACCAACAACCGAGGACGTGATGCCTTTACTAGTGAATTCTCCTTAATATTTAAAGAATAAACACCAGTGTTTCTCAAGAGCTCTCAAAAAATTGATTTGATGAGAGAAAACTTCCAAACTCATTTTAAGAGGCCATTTTTACCATGATACCAAAGTCAAAGACACTACAAGGAAAAAAAAAATGCAGGCCAATATTCTTCATTAAGATAGATGCAGAAATTCTCAACAAAATACTAGTAAACCAATATATTAAAAGCACCATACACCATGCTCAAGCAGGATTTATTCTTGGGATGCATGTATGTCTGTGGTTCAACATTTACAAGTTGATAAATGTCATAAATAACATTAATAGAATAAAGTGATTATCTCAATGAATGCAGAAAAAGCATTAGACAAAATTTAACATTTGTTATAAAAACCCTAAGCAAGTTAGGTATACAGGGAATGTACCTGAACCTAATAAAGGTCATATGTGTTAAGCCCACAATTAACATCATAACAATAGGAAGGTGAAGATGCAAAAAAAAAAAAAAAAAAAAAGTATTACATCAAATCTTAAAATATTGTTTGGGGATGGAATAACAGTGTAGAGTCACTTAATGCAATCAAACTGAAGTTGTTATCAGCTTAAAATAGTCTAACTATAAGATGTTTCATGTAAATCTTTTGGTCACTACAAAGGAAAAAATCTATGCTAGATACACTTAAGATAAAAAGTAAGAAACCAAAGCATAGTGCTAGAGAAAATCATTCGACCATAAAAGAAGACAGCAAGAGAGGAAGAAAGGAAGAAAGAGTTACAAAACAACCAGAAAAACGAGCAAAACAGCAATAGTAAATCCTTATCTGTGAATAATTACCTTGAATGTTAATAGATTAAGTTCTTCAATGAAAAGATAAAGTGACTAAATCAATCAGAAAACAAGACCCAAGTATATTCTGCCTACCAGAGAATCACCCTCACTTTTAAGGGCACACATAGATTGAATGTGACAGGATAGAAACAGATAATCCATGCTGATGGAAACCAAAAGAGAGTAGAAGTAGCTGTACTTAAATCAGATGAAATAGAATTTAAAACATTATAAAAAGAGACACAGAAAAGGTCATTATATAATGTAAACTGGCCAGTTTGTGAAGAGGATATAGCAGTTGTAAATATATCTGCACCCAACATCCGAGTAGCTAAATATATAAAGTAAATATTAATAAATCTGAAGAATGAGATAGACTGCAATATAGTAGTAGTAAAGACTTTAATATTCCTCTTTAAATAATGAACAGATCATCCAGACAGAAAATGATATAGGACTTTAACTACATCTTACATCAAATGTAACAGACATACGTAGAGCATTTCAGCATTCTATCCAATAGTAGCAGAATCCACATTTTTGTTGAGCACTCTTGGAAACATCTCCAGGACAGATCATATGTCAGACCAGAAAATAAGTCTTAACAAATTTAAGAAGATTCAAAATATACCAAGTATCATCTCCAGTCACAATGGTATGAAAATAGAATTCAGCCCCGTCCCCGCCCCCGGGGCCGCTGCCACCCGCCTCACACCATGGCTCTGAAGAGAATACCCAAGGAATTGAATGACCTGGCCCGTGACCCTCCAGCACAGTGTTCAGCACGTCCTGTTGGAGATGGTATGTTCCATTGGCAAGCTACAATAAAGGGGCCAAATGACAGTCCCTATCAGGGTGGAGTATTTTTCTTGACAATTCATTTCCCAACAGATTACCCCTTCAAACCACCTAAGGTTGCATTTACAACAAGAATTTATCATCCAAATATTAACGGTAATGGCAGCATTTGTCTTGATATTCTGCGGTCACAGTGGTCTCCAGCACTAACTATTTCAGAAGTACTCTTGTCCATCTGTTCTCTGTTGTGTGATCCCAATCCAGATGATCCTTTAGTGCCTGAGATTGCTTGGATCTACAAAACAGATAGAGAAAAGTAACAACAGAATAGCTCGGGAATGGACTCAGAAGTATGCGATGTAATTAAAGAAATTATTGGATAACCTCTACAAATAAAGATAGGGGAATTCTGAAAGAGGAAAGTCCTTTTGATTTCCATTTGACTGCTTTCTATGAGCCCACGCCTCATCTCCCCCTGTGCGCATGTTTACCTGATACAGCAGTGCTGCGTGTTGTACATACTTGGAACAACAAACTAGAAATACTGTACTTCTGTACCAACATTGCCTCCTAGCAGAGAAGTATGTGTGTGACAAGCCAGTTCTACAGGCATTACCTAGGTGTGAGACTAAAAGCTTTCCTTATTGACTTAAATTTGGATAACAGCAAAGGGTGGTGGGTATGGTGTGTGCTTGGATGGGAAAGAAAAAGTTCCACTCACCTGTAGGAGATTATTTTTAAGTGGAATCCATTTAAACTCAAAACAGTTATGAAAAGCAAGGTGAAGAACATGAAGCTGTGTCTATATTCATTTTATTCCGAAGGAGCTACGTCTTAGGTGAAAGTTATGATCAACCAGATTAAACTACCCACATCCTGCATTTTAAGGTCTAAGTTTAACTGGTCAACATTTAAATGGATTGGAGCTATTAGTACATCAAGTGTAATGGGCTTTGTTCCCAACTCTTTTACATCTCCCTACCCCTTCAGCCTTTGGCCTTTCAGCCCGTCTTTCTCTCTTCCATATTCTTTGGTTGGTATGTGGTTTCTCAGTTAATACATAGCTAATAGCTCTTATTTTTCTTATGTTTTTAACTTAAATAGACCTAACCTTATGTTAGGTCTATTTGCGTGTAAGGGTGAAAATTCATTTGATGGAAATATTTGTGTATATTTAAAGACCCAGTTGCTCCTCTGGAGCTTGTACATTCAAGAATGACTAATCTGTGTAATAAACTGATTACTACAGTCATTACATACAATTTTGTGTAAATAGGCTTTCTGATTTTTAAGAAGTTTGTCTAGCTGAGATTAGTGGTGGATTTTCTCCCACCCCTGAAATGTTCATTTATACTGGTTGCATTTTAAAATCATGAAACAATTCCAGTTACATAGTAAAAAGGATATCCTAAGAGTAATTTTATTAAACAAGATAGAGGCATAAGCTTAAGAGCATTTCAATGAAACTTGACACATGCAGCATTCCAGGAACATGACTGTAAAATCAAAAAAAAAATTGCCTTAATAAAGAAAACAAACCGCAATTCAACAAAAACCTGGGAACATCCCCTGGGAAAAAAGAAAAAAAAAAAAAAAGCCATGCCAAGTGGGAAAGTAAACCCCCGGGAATGGAAATAAAAAAAAACAAACATTGACTAAACCTGGGAAACAAGAGCACAATCTTGTTTTGGAGAGTCTGCATAATTACTTTGCACTAACATTTGCAGGATGTTCATCCAATTTTAAATTGTACTGCATGTGGCTTTTTGAAGTCTTCCATTGACTCTAGTAAAATGTAGCTTCAAACCTGTAAAAAGAAAAAAGAAAATGGAATTCATAACAGAAGGAATAGTGTAACATTTATAAATTTGTACAAATTTACATGGCCCTAAACAACCAAGAGTAAAATTGAAATGGGAAGTTAGAGGAAAATTAAAAATAGCTTGAGACGAATGAAAATACTATATAACAAAACTTATGGGATGCAACAAAAGCATTTCTACGAAAAGTTTATAGCAATAAACACACAGTTAAAAATAAGAAGGATCCCACTAAAACAATCTAATGCTGTACCTCAAAGGACTAGAAAAAAGAACAATCTAAACCCCTGGTTTATAGTAGCAAAGAAACAATGAAGGTCAGAACAGAAATGAAATAGAGACTGTAAAACAGTAGAAAAGATGAACAAAACAATTTTTTAAAAAGATAAACAGTTGACAAACTTTTAACTGACAAAAATGAGAGATGACTGAAATATATGAAATCAAAAATGAAAGAGTAGACAATACAGGAGATACAGAAATACAGAGGACAAGAGACTGCTGTGAACAATTGTACACCAACAAATTAGATAACCTAAAAGTTACGGATAAGATCCTAGAAATGTACAACCTACCAAGACTGAATCATGAAGAAATAGAAAAGCTTAACATAATGATAACAAGTAAGGAGATTAAATCAATAAGAAAAAATAGCTCTTATCAGAAAAAGTTCAGGCCTTGATGGTTTTACATCTGAACTTTACAAACATTTAAAGAAGTAATACCAAGCATTCTGAAATACTTCCAAAAAATTGAGGAGTAGATAAAACTTTCAAACTCATTTTAAAAGGCCTGTATTACCCTGATGCCATAGGCAGACAAGTGCATTATAAGAAAGAAATACAGACCAATATTCCTAATGAATATAGATACAGGCATTCTCAATAAAATACTAGCAAACCAATTTCAGTAACACATTATAAGGATCTGTTATCATAATCAAGGTGGATTTATTTCTAGGATGCAAAGTTGGCCCAACTTATGTAAATCAGTAGAGGTCATACACTGCATTAACAAAAAGAAGGACAAAAATATGGTTATCTCAAATGATGCAGAAGAGGCATTTGACAAAATCTAAAATATTAAGTATAGAAGATTGTATTAGTCCATTCTCACATTGATATAAAGAACTGCCTGACAGCAGCCCTAGTCAGGGGCTTATAGATAAAACTCCTGTTTCCCTGGGACAGAGCACCTGGGGGAAGGGGCGGCTGCGGGCACAGCTTTAGCAGACTTAAACGTTCCTGCCTGCTGGCTCTGAAAAGAGCAGCGGATCTCCCAGCACAGCACTCAAGCTCTACTAAGGGACAGACTGCCTCCTTAAGTGGGTTCTTGACCCCCGTGCCTCCTGACTGGGAGACACCTCCCAGCAGGAGTTGACAGACACTTCATACAGGAGAGCTCCATCTGGCAACTGGTGGGTGCTCCTCTGGGAAAAAGCTTCCGGAGGAAGGAACAGGCCACAATCTTTGCTGTTCTGCAGCCTCCACTGGTGATACCCAGGCAAACAGGGTCTGGAGTGGACCTCCAGCAAACTCCAGCAGACCTGCAGCAGAGGGGCCTGTTAAAAGGAAAACTACCAAACAGAAGAATAGCATCAACATCAGCAAAAAGGACGTCTAAACAAAACCCCATCTGCAGGTTACTGGTATCAAAGGCAAAAGGTAGATAAATCCATGACAATGAGGAAAAACCAGTACTTAAAAGGCTGAAAATTCCAAAATCCAGAATGTGACTTCTCCTCCAAAGGATCACAACTCACCAGCAAGGGAACAAAACTGGAAAGAGAATGAGTTTGGTAAATTGACAGAAGTAGGCTTCAAAAGGTGGGTAATAACAAACTAATCTGAGCTAAAGAAGCATATTCTAACCCAATGCAAGGAAGCTAAGAATCTTGAAAAAAAGTTAGAGGAATTGCTAACTAGAATAACCAGTTTAAAGAAGAACATAAATGAACTGATGGAGCTGAAAAACAAAGCATAAGAACTTTGTGAAGCATATACAATTATCAATAGCCGAATCCATAAAGTGGAAGAAAGGATATCAGAGATTGAAGATCAGCTTAATGAAATAAAGCGTGAAGACAAGATAGGAAAAAAAGAATGAAAAGAAATGAACCTCCAAGCCTCTAAGAAATATGGGTCTATGTGAAAAGACCAAACCTATGTTTGATCAGCGTATCTGAAAGTGATAGGGAGAACGGAACCACGTTGAAATATGCTCTTCAGTATATTATCTAGGAGAACTTCCCCAACCTAGCAACACAGGCCAGCATTCAAATTCAGGAAATACAGAGAACACCACATAGATATTCCTCGAGAAGAGCAACCCCAGGACACATATTGTCAGATTCACCAAGGTTGAAATGAAAGAAAAAATGTTAAGGGCAGCCAGAGAGAAAGGTCGGGTTACCCACAAAATGAAGCCCATCAAACTAACAGTAGATCTCTCTGCAGAAACCCTACAAGCTAGAAGACGTCGGGGCCAATATTCAACATTCTATAGAAAAGAATTTTCAACCCAGAATTTCATATTTTGCCAAACTGAGCTTTATAAGTGAAGGAAAAATAAAATCCTTTCCAGATAAGCAAATGCTTCGAGAGTTTGTCACTACCAGGCCTACCTTATAAGAACTCCTGAAGGAAGCAGTAAATATAGAAAGGAAAAACTGGTACCAACCTGCAAAAACATACCAAATTGTAAAGACCATAGACACTATGAAGAAACTGTATCAACCAACGGGTAAAATAACCAGCTAGCATTATAATGACAGGATCAAATACACACATACCAATATTAACCTTAAATGTAAACCGTCTAAATGTCTCAATTAAAAGACACAGACTGGCAAATTGGATAAAGAGTCAAGGCCCATAGGCGTGCTGTATTCAGGAAACTCATCTCACCTGCGGAGACACACATAGGCTCAAAATAAAGGGATGGAGGAATATTTACCAAGCAAATGGAAAGCCAAAAAAAAAAAAAAAAGCAAGAGTTGCATTCCTATTCTCTAATAAAACAGACTTTAAACCAGCAAAGATAAAGACAAGGGCATTACTTAATGGTAAAGGGATCATTGCAACAAGAAGAGCTATACTATATATATATATATCTCCAATAAAGGAGCACCCAGATTCATAAAGAAAGTTTTTAGAGACCTACAAAGAGACTTAGACTCCCACAATAATGGTGGGAAACTTTAACACCACACTGTCAATATAAGACAGATCAACAAGACAGAAAATTAACAAGGATATTCAGGACTACATCTAGAGAACTCTTTATCCCAAATCAACAGAATATGCATTCTTCTCAGCACCACATCACACTTATTCTAAAATTGACCATATAATTTGAAGTAAAACACTCCTCAGCAAATGCAAAAGAACAGGCATCATAACAGTCTCTCAGTCCACAGTGCAATCAAATTAGAACTCAGGATTAAGAAACTCATGCAAAAGTGCACATCTACATGGAAACTGAACAACCTGCTCCTGAATGACTACTGGATAAAAATGAAATTAAAGCAGAAATAAATAAGTTCTTTGAAACCAATGAGAAAAAAGACACAAGGTACCAGAATCTCTGGGACATGGCCAAAGCAGTGTTAAGAGGGAAATTTATATGACTAAATACCCACAGGAGAAAGCAGGAAAGCTCTAAAATCGACAACCTAATATCACAATTAAGAGAACTAGAGAAGCAAGAGCAAACAAATTCAAAAGTTAGCAGAAGACAAGAAATAACTAATATCAGAGCAGAACTGAAGGAGACAGAAACACAAAAAACCCTTCAAAAACTCAGTGAATCCAGGAGTTTCTTTTTTTTTTAAAGATTAACAAAATAGACCCCTATCCAGACTAACAGAGAAGAATCAAATAGCCACGATCAAAAATGACAAAGGGACATCACCACTGATCTCACAGAAATAAAAACTATCATCAGAGAATACTATAAACATCTCTA